GTGAATATTAAATAATTGATAATATAATACGTACCATCGGTGATATGCAATTGAGACATTGCTGGTGGTTGAACCAAATCTGGATGTACTACAATAGCCTTGTGTACTTGTCCAACATTGGATAAAAGCTATGTGATTGTAAGTAATAAAAGTACAACAGTTATTACATGAGGAATATTTGTGTGTATATATATATATAATATAATTTTTATTATAGAAATAACACTTACAGCACGGTTGTGTTCTCTCCAATGATGTGCCCCAGTGTTATCATTGAAATTGATAGTAACATATTTTGCACTGTGGATCATTGGGGCAATACCTGTATTACGAAGTTGATTAAATATTGTCGACACACAAAAGGCACTCAATTTTAAATTATACAATATAATAACTCACTATTTTGTAGAGCATCAGTTGCTTGATTAACTCTTTGAATGAAAGCAGGATCCTCACTATTATCACTTTCTTGTTTAGCTACGAGTATTACCCTATCAGCTAATCTTGCAATAGCTGCTGTATTATCAACCATTTGTTGTGGATAAGATTTTGCAATAGCTTCTTCACAAAGATATGTATGCTTTTGCATTTGTTCTTCTGAAGTTCTAATAAAATCGCCACTATCGGTTGCTTCATCGCACAATGCTCTTGTTCGTTGCATAGTTTCAGCATATTGTTGTCTAAGATTTTCAAAATGTTCATCGGCTGCTTTGCTATCCGGATAAGTCATGCGAATTCGACCAGCATTAACTAATTGAGGTGTTAATGATTCAACTTGTGAAGCACTCGCAGCTAATGCCTCAGCCAATTTCTTATTGCCTCCACTTCCTATAATTATTTATGAAATAAAACAATAAATCACACATAATATAATGATGATGCTACATACCACCAGCTGCAACCATCCTAGCTGTTTTTGCTGCTCTATTAGAAAATGTTTGAAGAGCATGAGTTTTAGCATTAAAGTATTGGTCTCTGTCAGGATCACCTTCTGGTGTCAGAACAGCGTCGGTAAATTGTCTTAAAGGTGTTGTAATATCGATGAAATCTTCAACCACTCGCGATACAACAGCTTGTTGTATTCTATTCTTTAGCTCATATAATTTAAGCGATAATTGACGTGCGATTTCTTGAGCTCTTGGCGTATTTCCTTGACCATGAGCACATAAATCTCCAAGTTGATGAGATAAATTATCAACTTCATCACATAATTGTAAAATCTCTACTTTATGTATGCCAGGTAAACCTTCAGCAACCTAAATTTTACAATTGTGTTGATTAAAAAAAAAAAGATTTGAAAATATTGAAATCTTTCAAGATATCAGACATCATATAAATATACCTATTTAAGATCTAATACATTTTGACACTGTAATATAAATTTATTCATGACTTACATTTGCTACATGCTGTTGGTTCTTTCCATTCGAAGCATTCAAGCAAAAAATTAAATCTTATATACGTAAAAAATAAAGCAATTAGAGGGATTGACATTACTCAATTTGTATCATACATAATATCAAACATTATATTACAATTCATACACATTAAACAAACAAAAAAATATTAAAAAATAAATGTCTCTTTGGTACTTTATCTTAAAAAAATTATTATTGGATGTAAAATATTATTATTAAGGATAGCAACGAAAAAAAAGCATGTTCATTATGAATAATTTTATTTAATATAATCACGATCTAAGCATGCTAATAATTATATACAATTGACATACCTTTTTGCCTTCATGTATTATCAAAGCTATAGCTTTTTGACCAAGTCCTTTATCATCTTGTTGTGGATTTAGGAGCCACTTATTAGCTTGTTCTAAACGACCTGCTACAGTATGTGCAGTTTGAGCTGTTCCTGATTTATCAGCAGCTACCAAAGCAGATGCCACGCAACTGCGTAATTCATTTAATTTTTCCTTAATACCACGTGCCAAAGCTTCTGCTTGAGGTGTAGTTCCTGAAATAATTAAAATCATTATAATAGTGCATCATACATTAATAAATGTATGTAAGTAAATGTATAATCAAACCTTTTTCACTCTGACGTAGTTCGCATAAAGCTTCTGTCATAGTAACTATTTGTGAAGCTAACTTTGACAGTGGTTCTGCTTGAGAAGGAGAAAGATATCGTTCAGCTAATCTCGATGCTTGTTCTACTATTTGTCTAAGACTTTTTTCTCCTACGCCTCCACGCAAAGCGAGTCCATCATCCAACCAATCATATGCAGCACGTATTCTAGATTCTATAGCACTTTGTGCCTTTTTCAAGACCTAATATAAAAATTTCATAATAAACTTTAGTTATTTTATAATTAGTGAATAATAATATAATCAAATAAATCATACTGTTAATTGATCAGCATCCCATTCTTCTTCGTCATATGTTGTCAATTGTAAAACTCTGATTATTTCATTAAGTTCATCAGACATTCGTCCACTTAAGTAATTACGATTTTCTGCTGCTTCTTCAGCTCCTTTTCCACCTTGGGAAATGATGTGAATAAAAATTTTCATAGAACAGATGAGGATTGGTGCTAAAGTTTTCACCTGTAGATATATAATATTTCAAATAAAATAATATCATATCATATTTATTAATTTCTCATAATAATAAGGCAAATAATTACCTGATCTAAACATCGTACGAGAATTTCTCTATGAACTTGATGAGTTAATTCTTTTTCACGAGCGCTTACTTCTCTCGATACTTTACTTAAGCATGGACTTAAATTTTTAAGAAAATGAACCAAATCTTCCATTGTTTCAATGACTTCAGTAACAGCCAAATAATCCAAAACTCGTTTGCATTCTCTTATTATTTTTCGTACTTCACTTTCATCAAAACATAACAATAAGGAACTAGTTCCTTGCAAGATACCACGAGAACCTTCTATCAGTTTTTTTCTATAAAAGAAACATATCATACATTTCAAGATATTCTGTACAATATTTCTATATTTATTATTTACCTAGCAGGTCCAGAATAAGGATCTTGTTTTAACATTGCAGATGCTTCCTCTAAAAGACGAGAAGCACCCTCAACACGTTGCAATGCTGCAGGCATATCTTGCTTAAGTAAAGCATCATCTGAAGAATTTATTGTTTCTTTGCCAACCTGTGAAATTTAATTATATTATATTTAATATTTGACTTTTTTAACAAAATTTTCTATAAATAGATTTAAAACTTACTTTTATCAAATTAGTCACCGCCATACTAACTGCCTGTACAGGCCTTCCCAAATCTGGCATTGCATTTCCATCTTCAGCTTCTTCATGTAAAATGACAAGTCTTGAAACCTAGAGACCAAATATTATACGAATAATTAAAAAATTCTTTGAATTTAATTTCCAACATATAAAAACATAATATTGTTAGAATATATTTTTTTATATGCATATATATGTATGTTTGTTTATTTCTATTCACATACTTATGCATTATAGTATACAATTTTTCTTTTTATTAATTTTAATAAACAAACATATATTGTAATTCTGTTTAAACAATTACAAATTATACTATGCAACATTAATGGAATTTTATGAAGAGAGATTTAATTTATGCATCATGTTAATCAGCTGATACCATTTTTGGTAAGGTTCAGAGTTTCATTTTCATAAATCTAGTAGGCATCAAGGTCTTTTAATGTTCTATGGCTATTTCTAGAAGAAGAGGGAGAATTATGTTGGGGATCATACGAAATGTATAATATATATCATGGTATCATTAAAATTTAAAATATTTACTATTTTATAATATACAATTATTTTTGTTCATTAAAATAATATTTTTGAAAGTATGTATAGCTGTTATAATTATTCTTGTTTTAAATATATACAATCATTTACTATTATATAATATTTTATTTTTAAAAGTGTCAATTGTTTATGTCTTTTTCATATAAATATATAATGTTTAATTTGAAAAGATAGATTAGATTTCATAAATCATGTAAGTACATGGTACAATCTTAAAAGTAAATTTAGTACTTCTCTTCCATGACCACAGGATGATGTCACAGTTCTATATAAAGTAACACAAGTGTTACTGGGTAAATTTAAGAAATAGTATTATATCAAGAATTATTGTAATACAAGTTGATGGAATAATTCAAAATTGAATGATGAAACATTGATTCATTTATTTTTTAGTTTTAATGTTTTAATTATAAATCTTTGGGTGTGTATATACATATATATACATATGTATGCATACATGCATGTATGTATGTAGTATAATGTATATACATATATATATACATATGTATGCATACATGTATGTAAGTATAATGTATATATATATATATATATATATATATATATATATACATGTATATAATTTTCATTAGTGTCAAATCTAAACAGGTATATGTATATATAAAAAGATTTGAAAAAATCAATTGTATTCAAAGATTAAATGTAACCATTTATCATAAAATAGCTTACCTGCTGTGCGACAGGTTCAAGAATACTTTCTATAGTCTTTGTGTGAAACACCGGCATATTTTCGATTTATTAAGTAGAAAATAAAAAATAAAAATAAAATTTTTAATCTCTTATGACTAAATTTATAAAAATCAATACGAATAATAAATAAATATTGACAGGACCAAAATCTAATATAAGAATAGAAAAAGTAAAGTAAGCGTGTGTGACCAAATGACAGAACAACTACAGTATCACTGAATCATATAACCAGAGATGGTATCATCTCACAAAATAGTAAGCATTGATTATAGTATATTCAAGACTGCTAACTGCAGTTACATTTTTGAACACGATGCACAAGTTTGATGCAATGCTCGCTCGATAATTATTGAAGATAAAACAGATTTTCTTCTTGAATAGATAATTCATTTAAAAAATTACATGTATTGTTACAAATTTGTTTTAAAATTAAATTTTACTGATAATATTTTTAAAAAGTACACGAATTTCTTCTTTTTATTTTTTATTTTTGATTGATTGATTTTCTATTTTGAAATATTAAAAAATATTTCTATTGCATTTTTGCATGTGTTGAACTTTAAAAAAATATGCTTTACTCAATCTAGATGGCACTATATTCAATCAACAATTATAAAATATTTTTATTCTCTTCTATTTAAATTATCTCTTATTTTGTTTATAAAATTCATCATTTTTTATATGTATAATAATCTTTGTAAAGAAAAATGTAACATTATTGTAAAAACAAAAAATTATCAAAAGAAGATATTTTGAAATAAAATCGTGTATTTCTCTGTCATGTAATGGAAAATGCTCTAAATATGATCTTTAGGATGATTGATTATTTACATACTAATTATAAATAATAAATATTGTATTAATAATTATAAATATTTCTTATGTTCAAGAAACTGTATTGTATAAAACTTATTGAAATATAACTACATATCGAGTTTGATAATTTTTTCATTATTTCTATATTTAATGATTACACGTACTTTTTATTTTAATCAATTACTTTAAGATTAAGGTACTTAAATTCATTATTTCTTAGCAAAAGATATTTTCATTGCATGCGAAGGTGTAATCTTAAATCCTTGAAGTGCATCTTTAGCTGCACCAGATTGAACCTCATTTTCAAATTCTACAAAAGCAATGTCATGCCGATTTGGCACTAAACGAACTTCTTTAAAACCAGGAAATTGATTAAAAAGCATAGATAACATCATTTCACTAGTTTCGTCAGGAAGATTTGTAAGGAACAAAATTTGATTCGGTGGTTGTTCAGGTACAGCTGTATTAACTAATCCTGGATGTTGTGGTACTCCAGGATGATATCCAATTTGCTGTGAATGTTTTGCTTGTTCTTTAGCACGTTTCTTTGCACGTTTTGCTTCCTCATCTGCAGCTGGTAATACACGTTTTGGTTTTTTAGGACGTTCTGCGAAAGTACCTTTCATTTTAGCAATTAAGTCACTATCCGTCTTTGCATACTGTATCCTCTGAAAATATAAAGCAATTATAATATATAATAAAGCTTCTTCTTTTTTTTTTTTTTGTAAATATTTAAATAATATACATACCATTGGTTTATCATAAAAAGGAAATCCTTGCATAGATCTTAAAGCATTCGTCGCACTTGCTATTTCTTTAAAAATTACAAATGCCTGACCGCGCATTTTTAAAGTTTTTAATGCTACAATATCTAATATCTGTCCAAATTGAGAAAATATAGCATATAAAGATTTTCTTAATTCTTCTTTCTTTACCTTTTCATTTAAATTATTTATGTAAATTGTATTATTTGGTCTGATATCCATAATTACTGAAAAAGATTATTATTATTATTATTATTACATATAAACAATAGAATTTATAACTATAAGAAATAATTATATCTAATCAAAAAAGATGTTTAATTCATGGAATTTGAATAACCTTCAAATATTACAATATTATTTTGAAATATAATTACATATATTAATCAATATAATAAGATTTATATACTTACAAAATAAATGTTAAACTTTTGTATTATTTAATAATTCACTTAATAACGTTTCTGATTAATATTTTTATCGGCAAAAGAAAACCGACACAAATAACCTTAAGAGGACAGAATAAAACATAACAGATTGGATGCGCGTTTTAATGTCGTTATATGTCACACAACGCTGATTGGTTGCAGACTATTCGTTACTTAACCTATACGTAAATTATTTGAAATTAAATTGACTTGTGAAATTCAGTAACAAGTATATTTTCTTGAATCTATAATTTAGAATTAATTTCATATAATATTGATTATATGTATATTATTTGAATTATTTCAAAAGTCAGTATTAGTTTTTAATAAGTTATGTATTAAATAAACAATAACAAATTAATTATTACAAAATGTGTGAAAAGACCACAACTTCCGCACATATGAAATTGAAAAACAGTCCAGCAGTAAACAAACCATTTCGTTCATTATTTAATAACAATCATGATGTTACTCCTAAACGTAAATCTAATATTGAAAGCTCGGAAAAAGTAAATAAATCACAAGTGTAAGTAAAATCTTAAGGAATTATATTTTAAATATATGTATAATATTTATTATATAAATAGTTTCATATTTAATATCAAATAGGGATACTACTAAGAGAAAATTGTCACGAGAATTGATTTTTACTAAAAAAATACGACTTGATGTTGAAGAAGAAGATGTGAAAAATGTGAAAATTGATGAAAGCATAAACGTATTTCCAAATGATTTAGAAGAATTAGAAAAGAGAATAATAAAAAAACAGAAAAATATAGAGATCTTAAAAAACGAAATTTCATACTGTAAAAAGGTATGAATTTTATAGTATTACATTATAATTTTTTAATAATATTAAATGTAACTTATTTATTAAATATTTTAAGAACAATTCCACTGATTTGGAAGCGGATATTAAACAGTGGAGATTTGCTTGTCAGGATGCTCTGGAAAGATTACAGAAAGATTTAGAAAGTAAACGAGGACAGGTAATGACTATGGAAGAAATATTGTCAACGTTGGGTATACCTAAGACTTTAGTAAATTATTCTACAGAGAATGACATGTTTATTAAATAATGAAATGTCATATATTTTTTGTTAATCTTATTATAGTAACTTATGTATAATATTAAAATTACTATTTTGTTGTTAACAAAATTTATAAAGTCTATATCTTTCGTTAATATTTATGCGGTCTCAGTGGACGATCAGGATTAAATAATGGTGGGTCGTTTACATATCTTGGATCTTTTGTAAAATATCCCATTAAACCTTAAAAAGAAATATTTATAAAATATAAGTGATTAACTAATCAACATTTTTTTTTAGTTCTTAATAAATTGTTAATAATAATAATAATAATAACAGGTTCATCAATTTTACCAGCATTTTGTGCTTTTAAGATTTCTGTCTCAACTTTTTGTTGTTTATTTGTACATAAACCTGTTATATGCTTTCCATAAATTCGTCCGGTGTATCTACTTTGAAACTGTGATAGCAATCGTACATTTTTATAATTTGGTTCTATATTTAATTTGCATAATAAACATTGTTGTTTTTCTTTTTTATACGGATTTTCTCTTAAATCGGGCTGCAATAAATGATAAATTTAATAAGATGATAATACAAAGTAAGACAAAAATACAATTACAGTTGTTTCTAACTAATTATATTTTTTACCATATCTTCTTTCTCTGATAATTTCTCATTTTTTAATTCATGGTTTGGAAGACTTCTTAAAAATCTTTTGTTAGAATACTGTCCTATATTTTTTACAAAGTTTTCAACAACTTTTCTAAGAACATTGTTGCAAATCATTTTCTAGGTTATGGCACTATAATTTTGTGCAGGATAGATTTAAAAAATCTGAAAAATTCAAATGTCTTCAGTTATGCACCTTAAGTAAAGAATTTCAAATGATCATTTGAAATTCAAAGTTAAATTTAATAGAAAATGAAAAAAGGATGTTAAATTTTTTTTTTTACTAGCAATAATAGTAGTAATAAAATCAATACTACCAACTATTACAATATCACTGTTAAATGTCCCTATGCTCAATATTAGAAATAACCTTAACACATCAGTTTTATAATTCCTACAAATTATAAAATATTTCACACACATTTGATTTAATGAAATTGAAAATCCTCTTTATTATCATAATTCAATGATGAAAATAAGTGTGATTATTATTTAACTGCAAATAATTTTGTATAAAAAGAATCATTTAATATTTTATCATTCAAAATTAAAAGAAAACTAACGGAAATTTACATAGAAATTGGTATTTATATATTTCGCAAATTTCTTTATTATTCTGGACAAATAATTTATTTATTGATATATTATCAAAAGATCTACTTATATTATTATTGTGTGTGCTAACAATTACTATTAATCAAAAATATTATATATGATATCTTAAATTACATTAAACATTTGATTTCCGGCTAGTAAAAGTTATTTTCAGTGTGTTAGTATTTCATTGGATTTCCGGTTAGACCATTTACGATTTGTATCTATTGACTCATTCCAGTGGATTTTTTTTTCTATAGTTCATTTTAAGCTAGGCGCAAGGTTCCTTTAAGTTTATTTAACAGTGAACCTCGCGCGTTAATAATTTATTATAAATTGTATTATTAACAACTATGGGGGGTGAAGAAGGAATAGGCGTGACAACTGGCCAACCAAATTTATATAAACAGGATCTTTCAAAGCTTGTAAGTGAAATTATATTCATAAATTTATATATAATGGTTGTTTTGTCCACGCGTACTGTGTTTAACATAACCTTACTTTTCATTTTTTGATAAAAACAGCGACGCCCCAAAATATTCGGACAAGTACTATAATGACTTAATTATTAACTTCATATTTTGGTTTTGTATAATGTAATAATCATCCTGATTATTCTTTATAGCAATAGATTATTTAATAATCTTGATAAACATATATAATTTATTTAAAAAAAAAAAAAAAAATATATATATATATATTTAATAGAATAAAATAATGTTACAGTTTTTGCTTACGAAAGTATTCAGATATATATTAAGTATATGTGTTAACCTTCTTTTAGTAATCCGATACCGTATGCTATAATATTACAGAATGAATTAAAAAGATAAATTCAACAGATTTTTATTTTTTCAATAGGTGAATTAAAATTAAGAATTTTTTTGGGAGTCACTGTATCTATAACTATGATAAGATTCGTTAATATTATATGCTTTTCTTAAAAATTACTAACATAATTAATTAATTATTCAATTTTTAAATAAAACTTATTATTTATGTTGTTTATAGTACCATACCGTGGTTTAATTATTATTATTATTATTATTATTATTATTATTATTATTATTATTATTATTATTATTACTATTACTGTTATATTATACTATATTATTAAAAATCTGTATCTATAACATATGTTTTGTTATATAATTAAATAAATCAGTTTTTTTTTGGTATAAATTTTAGGATGTCAGTACATTAACGGCTTTATCTCGTGAAGTTATTAGCAGACAAGCTACAATAAATATTGGTAAGTGATACAAAAATATGGTAACGAAATTAAAATATTCTAGTAACTTTATGTAAATAATAAAGTATTGCATCATAAAGTAAAAAAAAAAAAAAAAAAAAAAATAACACATGGGTAGGTTAAACTGTTCTCAATCTAACACATAGAAACAATTTTCTTTTTGTTGGAGCTAAAAATTGTTTAATTATTAATTATGTATTTATGTTTTTTAGGTACCATTGGTCATGTAGCACATGGAAAATCTACGATTGTTAAAGCAATCTCAGGTGTGCAAACTGTACGCTTTAAAAATGAATTAGAAAGAAATATCACTATAAAACTTGGTGAGTATAAGTTTAATTTAAATTTTAATCTATTTCAAATGATTATTTTTATACAATTTTGTTGTTAATAGTATTAACTTTTTAAAAGATGTTTATATATTTTTTGTTTGTTCAAAGGAGTTGATATGTTTACTATTTTATTATTGGTTTATTCAAAATAATGTTTTGATAAACACAATTATGTATTACTATACATTTATTAATTACTTAATCATTATCAAATGTTTATTTTATTAAAGAAAATATTTATTCATACGGAATAGATATTAATATTTAATAATTTACGCGATTCTTTTTATATATTTTAAATATGATAAACTTTTAAAACAAATTTCTTATGATGTAAGTAGCAACATTTACACTACCGGTTGAAATAAAAATGTACAAGTTATATATTCCATTTTTTTTTTAAACATTTATTTATTCTTGTACGTGTTTTATATGACTTGTTTTTTTTAACTTATTGAATGTACTGGTAAAATATTTATGAAAAAAAAAAAAAACCAAAAAATTAGAACATCGTGTATGTGAACAAATGTAGTATAATAGCATTTGTGAAACCTAACTTTTAATAATTTAAAGATATTTCGTATATGAGTACGTGTACCAAAAATTGTAGTTGATAGAGTATTTAGGGTATTTTTCAAATTACACATTGCCTAAATTGATTCTTGTTATTTTGCAATACATTTAATAATTTATAAATAATATTCTTTATTATGGTTAAAAAAAAGTGATTAAAAGTGTGAGTTATGTTTGAATATAATGAATATAAGGTAAGTACAGATAGAAGTATTTTTTCAGCTAAATTATCCGGTAAAAATGTTATATTTAATGTAATAATAATGAAATAACTGAGATAATTGCAGCATAATTAACACTATGCCGTTCGCATAATTGTAATTTGGATTCTTTTCTTGGATTCTCTGGACTGACCAACGTTTGGTGTCATTGGCATTTGTTCAGTAGTTTTGCATAGGACACTAATGTGATGTCAGTGGCAATTGTCTGATCATTTTCAGAAGACACCGAACGACATAGTGTTAATAAACTCTTTTAGTATTTGTCGAAAATGTGTGTAACTACGGAAAAAATACTGATCAATTTGATGTATTTTGAAATTGTCATAAAAATTATTTCCCTTTGAAATATTTGGAAATAATTTTTATTTATTCATTCGGAAAAATCCTAGATTTATTTTCGATGATTTTTTAAGTATATATTAAGTGTTTACATATATATGTTATATTATATATTATTTATATATATATATATAATATATATATATATATATATATTTGTCGATAATAATTTTTATAATTTTTATAACAAAATTAAATTTGACGAAATAAAAATAAAGTTTTCAATTGAAATATATATCGATATTTACATTCATTTTTATTTTATTATAAAATAAAATCTATAAAAAGATAATATTCTTATTTATATAATATAATCAAATATATCCCGTTGATTGTATTGATAAAAATGGTTATTGTAAAAAAAAAAAAAAATGGATATAAAGCTTTATTAAAATATAATGAAAATAATAAATAATTATCTAAATGCATGGAAGATTGAAGAGGATTAAAATGGTGTTTAAAGATGATGGTAATATGACGTTTAAAAACGATTACACACAATTGTACAGAATAACTTAAAACATGGAACTCTCTTGAAATCGGAGTGAATGACGTCGTTTAAATGTTTGGCATTACAGACCATCCAGTTGAGAGATGCAGTAAGGAACAAGCAGATATACCTGATGAAAGCTCTTCCATACCTGATAAAAGATCGCTTTCTCCTGAAAACAACCAACTATGCTCGAAGAAACCAAAAATTGATGAAAAATCCACTTTACATCCAGACGACAGTGAAGAAGATAGTGCTAATTTACATCTTAATTTAAGTAAAGAAAATACAAGATCTAATATATTTGATATGAATAATCGAAACGTTGAAAATTTTTATTTATCAAATACTGATGCACATAACAAAAAAACCACAAAATCTGACACTCCAAAAAAGCGTGATTATGCAAAATTTAAATTGAAAGAACTACGAATTGTTTTAAAAGATATTAAACACAATAATCTGTATTATAATAATGACAAAGTAAAAAGTTCTGAAAATAAAATTTGGGAAGTGGAGGAAATTTTAAATAAAACAAGAATAAATGGTGTTACGTTATATTTAGTTAAGTGGAAAGATTGGTCCAAGGATTATAATACATGGGAACCATTAGAGAATCTAACTAATTGCAACCAACTTTTGGAGAAGTTTGAGAATAGAAGGTCCAGATTATTGAACAGATTTAAAAAAGAACTTGATTTTAATCCAACGAAGCAAGACGTTCACCAATATTTACAGATAATCAGAAAAAAAGGAGAATCAATTGATTGTAATTCAATAGAAGAACATACTCTTTACGCTAATATAAGTAATTTTTTTAAACTTAATAAAGTAAAACGAAGACAATCAGAGAAGAACATTAAAGAGGAAATCTTACGATTTATGTTCTGCGACTTAAGAAGGGAACAATTAGAATTATTAAAAGACTGGCAAAACGAGATGAATAGTATCAGTAAACATAAACCATTGATATTAGTAGAAAATTTAGTAGATCTTGAAGGCCCACCAGAAAATTTTTTTTATATCGAAGAATATCTTCCCGGTGAGGGTGTAGTAATACCCGAAGATCCTCCAATTGGTTGCAATTGTATTAATTGTGGTTCTAATACAAAATGTTGTTTTGTACAAAATGATAGTACTTTCCCATATACCTCGAAGGGAAAAATTCGTGTTAAGCCAGGTACACCAATATACGAATGCAACAAGCGATGTAAATGTGATATCAATTGCCCGAATCGTATTATTCAACGTGGTACCCGTAGAAAATTTTGTATTTTTAAAACTGACAATGGTAGAGGTTGGGGTGTAAAAACATTGGAAAGTATCAAGAAGGGTTCATTTGTAACACAGTATGTGGGAGAAGTAATTTCAAGTGACGAGGCTGATAAACGTGGCAAAGAATATGATGCTGCAGGTAGAACATACCTTTTTGACCTTGATTATAACGAAACCGATAATCAATGTCTTTATACGGTTGATGCAGCTGTATATGGTAACATATCACATTTTATCAATCATTCCTGTGACCCTAACTTGGCGGTCTATGGCGTTTGGATCGATTGTCTCGATCCTAATCTACCAAAACTCGCATTATTTGCTACAAAAGATATCCAAAAGAACGAGGAAGTTACATTTGATTATGTGTTTCAACCTTTTAAGATGATGCATGAGACGGAAGATGATATCAAAGGAAAAAAAACAACTGATACATCTCCAACAAATGAGATGAAAACACAATTAGATTCACCTGATTTGGGTACTGCTAGTAAAGTATTTTGCAAGTGTGGTGCTAAGAATTGTAGAAAATATTTATTTTAAGAATTATTATACAAATTATTTATAAAAAGAAAACTTTTGTTTATAATCATAAAGATTACATTGGCGTGTGCTTATAGTTTAATTATTTCACTAAGATATTTTATCATGTACCATCAAATAGTTTCAATAAGTAAAGTTACTCTTTTTTTTTTTTTTTTAAAGATTTTTTCTCATTTAAAATATTATATCTTCATCATTAAGTATTTTGCGAATGTAATAATGTACTTATTTTGTTGAATATATAAATAAGTGACAATTTAATATTACATAATTAATTTTACAAATCTTAAGAATATTAGAATATAATAATGCAAACTAACATAAATAATTACAATTATTGTTATATTTTTATATGTAAAATCAATGTTTTAAAAATATTAATCAAGATTTAATCGTTATTAGAAAAGAAATATAAAAAAAATAAAAATATAAAAATATCGATGGTACATTATGACATACGCTTTGTAAATGTTAATGTTTGTGATGAAAGCAATATTTTATATGTTTTTCGTATTATTATATCTTGTATGAAATATTATGTAAATAAATAGAAATAATCTACATTATGAATATATCTATCATATTAGCAGTAATACGGTAATCCCTTCATTTGTGTGGGTAATTGAGATTCCACGAACAGAGCGCTTAAATATAAACTGCATAAATGGAACCATAAAAGGGCCGTTTAAAAAATAAGGATCCATTTCATATTCTCAAGTATGTATTTAGCTTTTATTGGGATAGAAAAGTAAATTAATACGATTAGGAAAATGTATTTGTATAGAAAATTAATTCAATTCTAACGAAAACTGTATGTTTGTTATATATGATATCTTGATATGTGGTCATTTTCACATGTTTTTTGTTCAGATAAATAATATGAATTATTATAAGAATTATTTAAAACATAAGTGTGAAGAGAGAGAGAGAGAGAGAGAGAGAGAGAGAGAGAGTTCTAAAATAATATTTTATAATCTTTTTTTTTATTATTATTTAGAGAGAGATGCGTAAAAGAATTTTTTAATTTTAAACATATATAAATATATTTTTTATAAATTTTTTATAAGCTTTATATAATTTTCTTTATCTGATGTAGATGTATAGAGTTACATATCTTATTATTTTTTTCTTTTTCTTTAAATTGTTTATATTATTTTTGTCATATAATAAATTAAAAAAAAAACATCCATCCTCATCAGATTTTATTTATTTTATTTTCCTTTAAAATCAATTTCTTTTTTTTCTTCTTTATATTCAATTAGACATAAATTTCATTAATGAATTCTTCTTTTAAATTTTCAATTTGTTTTAGGATATGCAAATGCAAAGATTTATAAGTGTGATAATGAAAAATGTCCAAGGCCAGCTTGTTACATATCAGGAGGATCTAGCAAAGATGATTCCTTCCCCTGCTTGCGTCCAGCTTGTTCTGGACGATTTCAATTAGTTCGACATGTCTCATTCGTAGATTGTCCTGGACACGATATTCTTATGGCAACTATGCTTAATGGAGCAGCTGTTATGGACGCAGCGTTACTTTTAATCGGTATATCATTTATAATCTCTTAACAAAAATGTATTTAGATCAAAATTATCATTCATTTATTTGAGCTTTTGAAATAATTTCTTTTATTTTACTTAGCTGGCAATGAGTCATGTCCACAACCCCAAACTTCTGAGCATTTAGCTGCTATTGAAATCATGAAATTAAAGCATATAATCATTTTGCAAAATAAAATTGATTTAGTAAAAGAAGCTCAGGCAAAAGAGCAATATGAACAAATATTGAAATTCGTTCAAGGTAACATTATATAGCAATTTTAATTGATACTATAAATATATATATATATATATATATATACACAAATTCTCTAAATAGTATATAATAGTAATAATAAATAGTAAATATGTGATAATAATACAAAAGAATTAAATAAATTATAATTAATTATGAATTATTCTTAAGATAATTATCTATATAATTAATTTCTATTTTAAATAAATCAGGTACTGTTGCGGAAGGAGCTCCTGTTATTCCAATATCTGCTCAATTAAAATATAACATTGAAGTATTGTGCGAATACATAACAAAGAAAATTCCGGTTCCACTTAGAGATTTTACATCAGAACCCCGTTTGATCGTTATCCGATCTTTTGACGTTAATAAGCCCGGTTGCGAAGTAGATGATCTTAAGGGTGGAGTAGCAGGAGGAAGCATATTGAGAGGTGTATTAAAGGTACTTCAGTATTCAGTATTCAGTAGATTCATGCCTTTTTTTTAACATCTATTTCTTCTGTTTTCATTTGTTACAGCAGTATTTTTGGTTTTTTTTTTTTTATTTATTTTAAATAAATAATAGAAATAGAAAAAGAATACTTTTACATTTGTACAGGTTGGCATGGAAATCGAAGTTCGACCTGGATTAGTATCGAAAGATAGCGAAGGGAAATTAACATGTCGTCCAATATTTTCACGCATTGTTTCGCTATTTGCCGAGCAAAATGAATTGCAATTTGCAGTTCCGGGTGGTCTTATAGGTAAGCAATTTACTGTATTAATGACTTTTTTTTATTACTTAATAAAAAGTATCTTTTGTGCAATATCCTTGATACATTAGATACAGGATTGTATTTTCTGTGATTCCAGAATAAGATAAAATGTTAACGTGTATATGTGTTTAAATCAGAGAAATTGTATAGAAGTGATACAAGAAATCTTGTAAAATATCTTCATTTATATAAGCGTAAATGATATCAATTGAACCTATTTAATTATGATAAATAAATGAGCATTAGTATAATGATTTATAATTCTTGAAGGTGTTGGAACGAAAATTGAACCAACTTTATGCAGAGCTGATCGTTTAGTTGGACAAATATTGGGTGCTGTTGGGGCATTACCTAAAATATTTATTGAACTTGAAATTTCGTACTATCTATTGAAACGTTTGTTGGGTGTTAGAACCGAGGGTGATAAAAAAGGAGCGAGAGTAAGATTATTATTATTATTATTATTTATTATTTCTTTTTTTATGATCTATAATTTGTATAATTTGATATCATTAATAATTTTTGTTCGTAGGTACCAAAGTTATCTAGACACGAAGTGTTGTTAGTGAACATTGGTTCTCTTAGTACCGGTGGTCGAGTTTTAGCTACACGTGCCGATTTAGCTAAAATTAGCTTGACAAGTCCAGTATGCACTGAAATTGATGAAAAGATCGCATTATCGCGTCGTATTGAAAAGCATTGGCGTTTAATTGGTTGGGGCCAAATTTGTGGAGGACAGACAATAGAACCTGTTCTTGATGGAAAATAATTTCATTAAATTTCATTAATAAATGACGATAACAGAAATTTTTTTTAAGTCTTATAACTTAACCTGCGTGGTTTTGTAAAGTTGTAAGCAATGTTTGTAATAAATCGTATGATTTATCTTACACGTTTCATTTGTATGCTCCTTTGTTTTTTATTCCTTTCATTTTCATTGAATCTTTTGGTGAAGTTTTCTTTAAAGATTTTACAAATCAATGATAACTGCGATACGCTCAAAAATTCAGACTATTAAATTATATTATTATTACATCTTCTGGCGGTGTCAGTTTAATTATAAATGGATATTTAAATGGTTGTACGCGCTGCATTCAAGCATATGAATGTATCGATTGACAGATAAGACGCACCAATGAATGATATTGTTTAAATCATTTTTTTTTTTTTATTGATTATTTTTATTTTAAAAATCTCGAAATTCCCCCAAAAAATCTAAGCAACATGATAATTCATTTTTGATAATATCATTTAATCAAGAAAATTAAATTTCTTTGAAAATTTTAAGTGCAGGATGCCAAGATTCTTTGGACATTACATAGGAATATCTTTTCAATCGGAATTATTAGTAATGACTTTGTTAGGTTTGGTAAGATTTTTTAAATAACTCTTGCTTGGATATATATATTTTTCTATTTACAATGTCCTAAGTATAATCATAAATATATATATATATCATATGAAAATAATAATTGTAAAATTATTAAAGTAAATAACGAGATGATAATATTCCGAAGCTCAACAGCACATTAGAATGGCGTCCTTTTGACTGGTCCAAACAAATAGAAAAGATTTGGAATCTATCATTGACACAACAGTATCTTATTTTTTATACAGATTTTGAATATTGGATAAAAACAAGTTAGTATTGAGATAAATATATTCTATATTTAACCTGTTAAACGATGTGTATTCTATTTATAATTATTTCCTAATTACAATCAGTTTTAACATGGGTTGTTATTACAAGGAAGATCGTTGCTTACGTTTATACATTTTTCTACATAATCAATTTTTATCCAATTTTAACGTGGAGTCGACCAAATTTACTTTTACCATGGTTGATCCTGAGTTTTTTTCAAAATCTTATCCTAAAATTAATCGTCATTATGGTATTCATATGGTTATGGGGTAGAGAAAGATTTTCTTCATTTCGTATGATCGAATTTATTCTCGTTGAACTTCTTTCGCTAAGTGAGCATGATTTTTATTTATCTTTATTAACGTAATACAGATTAATATTTATAGATTATCTGTTTAATAAATTTATCTATTAAAAAAAAAACAAAGATAACATTTTCAACAGCTAATTCTGCTTATATCTGGTACGCCATTGCATGTTCCTACATACAGTTGAGAAAAATAGAAAAGATTCGTACGATAAGGAAAGTTTTGAAAGCAAAATATTCTATTACAAATGATTTATTTTTTTCTAATGAAAGTGACATGAAAATAAGCAGAGAATCTTCGTTCGGTTCGTCTTCAGGAAGACATTACATGAGCTTACCAAATTTAAATGATGCCTTTTATCGTTCGATTTTTAACGATTACAACGATAATAAAATATTTAGATCGTTGACAACGTTGATGACCAACAGCAGTTTTGCATCTGATGATACAGAAGAAGTTATTTCTCAGATAATTCATAATAATAATTTGACGCCTGCTGAGAAATGTATGAAGCTTTTGGGTTTAACTGATGTTGATGTGATTAGTGCACGTGCTAGAGTTCGTAAAAGGATATTAGAAAATATTAGAATGAATAAGATTCAAGAAGAATATGTAAAGAAAACTGAAACAAGACAAATTGATCCCTTGAAGGATAACAGGATAAAAGATTCGTTTAATATTGATTACTTGATGACAAAAACTAGTATGTGCAAATTTCAAACAAATGATAATCAAGTTGAAAGAACGTTCAGAGAAGTAAAACAAAAAAGTGATGAAATTTTCAAACAAACTGAGCCTTGTAAGACCCAAAAGATTGACGAGAAGATCGATGATGTTAAAACAGAAGATGAATTAATTGTTGAATTACCAATAAAACTGGTGGAATTCACACAACCTAAAGAATCCAATACGGTTATTGATCGTATCGATGGGAAAGAAAATACGAATTTTGAATTTGTTAAGAAGAAGAAAAAAAAAAAGAAAGTGTGTCCATTGATGAGAGATATAATCAAGTCTAGACCATGTTTTCCTTACATATGGAACAAACAATTGAAAGAATGTCCTTTTAAAGAACAAACTATCCTTTCTGATTTTATTTGTCCTTCCTTTTTAAATACAAGAGATAAATCTTCAGGTGAAGCTTATTGTAGAACTAATCATGAAATTGATAATATAAGAAAAAATAATAAAATTCCAGAGGAAAATACGATTTCTTTGAATAACATTAAAACATTGTCCACAAATAATATTACAATTACAAATGTTGATGAACAAGAAAATACAAAGACTAGTGCGAAAGATTTGATTCATACAGAATTGGAAGATAATGATGTTTTAAGTAAAAATATTTGTTATGTGTATTATTACAATAAGATTAGAATAAATAAATTATATATTATTTTTTCTTTTATTATCCTGTATGTAATATATTAGAAATATTTTCTTTTTCTTTTTATAGAGAAAGGTAACATAAGAACAACAAATTCTGTAAAAGACACATCCGAAAGACTTAATTTAGAAATAAGAAGAAATTACAATTATATTTTCAACAATCGATCTCACATTTTTCCTTGTAATAGTGTCTTATCCACAATGGGCTGCTTAACATTTTGTCAAAAATTCATGACTAATCCTTATAGCAGAGAATTGCTGATCTATGAACTTTTGGATCCTCGATTACGATTTAATGAAGAATTTATTAACAATACGAATAATGTTTATAAAGAAACGTTGTTTAAATCTTCTTCTAGTTCAAAGGATTTATTTGATCGTGAACAAATTACAACGAGGAATATAAAGAGTACAGAGTTATTGTTAAAAATGCCAGAACAAATGACGTGTTATACTGATGCAGAATATGAATTTGTATTTAATCCTCAAGTACAAGAAACAAATTTAGAATTAAATCTTCAAGATCAAGACTTATTTACAGAATATAGGTATTTTTTTTAAACGTTTCTGTTTAAATAAGAATAATATTTCATTGAAGTATTATCATTTTAGATATAAAAGTATCAAATCAAATGAAGAACAACCAAATAATGATTCAATTAATGAAATAGATTTAAATAATAATCAGAATATGAATTACGAAAGAATTAATATTCAAACAACAGAAAGTTTACACAATTATAAATACGATAATAAAGTTAATCATAATTATCACAACATATATTCAAAGTTTTCAACGAATAACAATTTAAATCAATTATCCAATATTGAGAATCTAATTGAAAAGGACGAATGCTATAAAGATAATATAAATAATGTGTCATGTTATTGTAAAAATTGTAATACTACGCCAGTAGAAGATACTTCAAAATACGAGAAATCATCTTCATATTCTAATAACATTAGAAGGAAATCACTTCATAGATTATTCAATGCGAAAAATAAAATTGTCAAGACGTCGTTTGATAATAATACAAATTTCAAATACTTTGATCAATCGAAACATTACGTGGAATCATTGATAAAGAAGAGAAAATTAATGAAATCATCTAGAGAAAGAGAATTGTTAGAAATGAAAGCTTTGAGAGCTTACAACGAGATAACTTTGATAGAAGATAAACGAGAAATGGAAGAAAAACAACAAGAGAAAGTGAAAACGATATATTCCTTCATAGATGATAAATTTTTGACGATGCAAATAATGTCTTGTTCTAAAAAGAAAAGTAAATACAGTCAAATACAAAGAGAAGAAGAAATGTATAAATTTAATATACATCAAGATCATTTTAATTCCTACAATGAAATTGAATTACGTAACACGAATGATTCTTTTTTCGACTATGCTAGTAATATTAATAACAAAGAATTAAATGAGGAAAAAGAAAATATGAATTTTCTTGAAAATGAACCGTCGTCATCTTCTCGATTACCAAATATTCAAAATAAGGATGCTGCAATTATGCTGAATCTTTTGGATCGTCATGGTAGTTATTGGTTCAAGCAAGAACTCAGAAGAATTCTGGCAATAAGAGATAGTCAAGTGCATGTGAAATATAACAGACCTAATCAAGTTACAATGAAATTGAATCTTCCTTTAAGAAACAGTGAAGATATAAATGATAGCCTTGAATTTAATAGTAATACTGAAAAACAAGACATAAGTGTACCTTTTAAAGAATTTCTCACTCATCAAAATTTACAAACCAATTTGGATTTGAATTCAAATAAAAATTTGAGGATTTTTAATTCAACAGAATCCATCATTTCTGACAAAAATGTGTCTACTAATTCGTCTAATTTTCAAGATTTGATTGAATATACAGAAAATAAAAAAATAATTAAAGGAGAAGAAGAAGAAGAAGAAGAAGAAGAAATAAAAATGATAAATAACCCAAAAGAATCTGAAATGAATAAGATTGAGAAATCCAAGATCGACATTGCAAGTGTTGAAAAAGATGATGCATTTTCTTCCATAACAAACTTTACTTCAATTTCATCTTCTTCAAGAACTCAAGAAGATATAACTGAATCGATCGATAATTTTGATCATCGTCAAGTTAGAAATATGTTTCTAGACGTAATAGATATCGCAAGAAACGTTCAATCGAATTTACGTTCTCATGGTATTTTATTAGGTAAAAACAGTGTACGAGAAATAAATCTCGCATCGTCCGGTCTTTGTGTTGATCAGCAGAGAAATATAGTTGATGACATGACAGCAAGCTTGGTTCATGCTGCATTCTCTTATAAACCTGAAATTATCATTCGAACTTTTCCACGTGATTTTCAATCTATCAATGACGAAAGATCTATATCGTTCTTAGACAATTTTTACAATATTCATCGTACGCCATTGGTTGACAATGAATCCCTTTTTTATGCTAATAATGAAACAGATATTTATGCTGAAAACACATTGACACTAACGAACGATCAAGAAATCAAAAATGATGCTAATGATCTTGATAATATTCTACAAAGTTCATATGATTCTACGAATACTGATAGAATTTTTAATTTATATGTCTTGGTGAGAGAAGACGAGGATTTGTCTTTGGGTTTAACAATAAGACCAACTTCTTCTGATAGTTCTTCTTCTGTAAATGAAGTTAATCGATATGACAGCGAAGTTACATTCACTGAAACAAGAAGGACAATGGATATCGTTGATCCAGAAATAGATTTTTCTTGGAGTGAGACGATCGAAAATTTCGATCAACCATCCTTTAAAGTGCTGATAGCTTTCTTCAGTTTTATCTTAGCACTTTATGTAGAATTTTTAAGATCATATTTCTTTTCTAGAGAATCAGACTCGCATAATTCTGTATATGCTTACAGACTGTACGAAGTACATTCGAATAATATGTTTAAGACAAATTTTTCTGATGAGTTAATACCAAAAAAATGTGACACTGTTGTTTCCTCCAATTTGGTGAACGCAACAGAATTTCTTGATCAATTTGAAGAACAAGAAAGAATTGGTGTAATTGATTTTGCTGATGAAGTTAAAAAGGATGATCAAGTTTCGATAGAAAGTGCAAATCCACAAGTCTCAAATATAAGAGATAGTTTTGATACCACGTATACTAGAAGTACTATTGAATCTGAAAATGCTATATCTTTTAGTGAAGGTAGCTCGATGGAAGATTTTTCTTGACAATTTATCAGAGAATTTGTACTTTATATTTAACGATTGAATCACTGATTATAAATATTTATTACAATTTTCTTCTTTTTATTCATATATCTTACTAATATTATTTATCAATCTTTAGACATTTAATATTCCTTTTGTTTACTATCATTTTTTTTTAACAAAATATTATTATCATTTGAATAATTACGCAGGGTAATTAGGGTATTTCCGATAAGTAGTGAGGTTTTTTACGAAAAGTAGTGAGGTTTTTTCCCAAATTATTTTCATCATTTTATTTTGTCAAATTAGAAAAGGTTTTACATGAGTTTCTTAATAACATTCAACAAATTTCGTCATAACCCTGAGCATAATCAGGTACTACGTGATCAGGATCACAGATAGTGTCTTTAACCGCATCCGTAACATGTGCCTTGAAGATTCGGAAATTTATCTTGCTACTATCTAAATTTTCATAAAGATACATTGGTAATCTATTGGAGATCATCCAAACGCTTTGATTTTCCTCGTGATCGACCTTAATATCGTTAGGAAATACTAACGAGGTGTTACTGGTACCTATGACACCTAAATTTTGAGGTATATATTCTTTTCTGGTGTCCCAACACCATACGGAGTCACGAGTAACCATGTTAAAGAACATTACACCATTTCTATCAACAACGGAACCTGATGAATGACCATAATCCTTAGCTCTTGGTCTTCCAATCGGTATGAACTTATCAATATTATGCTCGATCATTCTCTTGTCTCGAAGGACAGACGTGGAGACGGCAAATTCTCTGAAACTCGACATGGGATGAAAGAACAGGGTTCTATCGTTGTGAATATCGATAGGACTGAGTGCAATACCAAATATTCCATCAGTCCATTGAAATTTAATACCATGGAGCTCGTACTTGGCAGCCAAAGGATCGGGAAAGAAAAAATGATGTTCGAATCTGAATGATGAATCTTTGTATAAGTCATACACGACAATACCGAATCTCCAGACATCCGAAAGATACGCTACTGCTCCGCCACAATCTCCATCTCTTACATCGACCACTATATTCGTAAACAAAGAATCTTGTTTGACTTGTTCTGGTGGTAAAGTATATTTCCTGATCAACGTATCAGTTCGAAGATCGAAAATAAAGAGAGCCGGTGGACAAGTCTGCGTTGGTTTATCCGCAATATTTGTCACTCCAGAATCCAAAACCCAAAGACGATCACATTCGTCAACTTGCAACCGAAACACTGACGTTAGATCATCACAATTACCTGCAAAAAACATAATGAAATATTACAAAATTATTTCGATAGGTATAATGTCTATCCATATTAAAACTAACCAGATTTATTCCAATCCCAATTAGGATATGGTTTCAATTTTGGACTTTTTGTTTGGGAATATCTTGGAACGGTTGCCAATGTAACTGGTATTCCTTCCTTCCATTTTGGAAGAGTAATGAATACTTTGTTTTCATAAATGTCTAATCCTAATGGTAAATTATTTTCAGCTATGTAATCACCATTAAATATGGCTTCATCTCGTTCCTCGATACTGTCGAATTCAAAGTCTACGGTCGACCAAGCGTACACCTATATAAAAATTAGCACAAAATTGATAATTGTTAGTAGAAAAAGATAATCGATTATTTACCAGACTCATCGCTGGTCCAACATATTCGTCTTCGACTGGCTCGTTATTTGGATCATAATTAAATCCATGAAATTCCAATTGATTTATCGAATGGGCTTCGTTTCTAAAGACATCACCGCCAATGGCTAACGGGTTATCACGATTATGGGGTTTGAAAAATCCACCTATCGTAATTGGGGTAGAGCCATAAAGGATATTACTTTTTTCGGTTGATCCTATTAATTTAGTTTCCAATGAATTCCCATGAGAATTACACGAAGTTTGAGTGGATAATTCTTCGTGCGATATCAAATTACCTGCTGACTAATTAAAGTAACATATAGATAAATCAGCATATAGGAAATAAACAATTAGATTTTATTTTGTATCATTTGAATATCATTTGTTAATGATTGATACGCGCGCGGGAAATATAAAAAATATAAAAATATTTTGGATTTAATTTGATTGTACCGTGTCGCTAAGAGGAAAAATAGGTGCCTCGAGTTCTCGTGAAATTGGTGCAACACTAGGATGAGCTGCAAATTGTTGAAAACCAAGAAGAGACATTGAAAGAAGCCATGGCATTACATGGGCCATACCTGCAAACAAAAAAATTCCAGAAAAAAAAGTTTATAAATTGTTATTTGTCCATAGAATTACTAAATCGAAAAACGATTAACTTCATAGAACAAAAAGTTAAGAACATTTATAGAGTAATATACATCGTAGTATTATTATATTTATTATTGAACGATTAGACAAATTATTCTTATTTTTAATGATGTTAAACTTAATTATTAATGATATATATAAATATAAAAAAAAAAATTAAGGATAGATTAAATGCTTTGATATTAAAATTGAAAAATATTCGAATAGTAGAGTCAATTTCTGTGTGACCTGTAAACGTTTCATTTTTTCTTTTCGAATACGTAACAAATTTAAGATCTCTTGCCAAATCGTTAAAATCGACTTGTATGGTAAAAGTATAAAGGGAAGTTATGCAACCAACCACATGAAATGTCTCTTCGCTTGAAGCAAAATTTCGCAAGTTAATTGAAAAATGGATCGATCGGAACTTTGCCTTTTGTGTTCTGTTTAACGAAGATGTGTATCATAAAATCTCCCACATAGGGATAGAAATATATATGCAATACTTTTTAACATTATTTAATGATCATCGATAAGGTAAATGTTGAAAAAACATGATCAATGTAATATGTTGTAATTTATATGTTTGATCTTTCCCGTAGAAACATAATAAACGAAGCAATCTTGTTTCCGTTTTCGTTTATTTCAACAAAAATTTCTTTAAAAAGGAAACACGTATAAATAATATTACATTTATTATGCAAGAATTATGTTCGTTCGATGTTTAATTTATTTCAAAAATATACAAATGAATCATTCATTATTATATTTTATCTTATATATATATATATATATATATATATTATGAATAATATGTTTCAAACAATCGTGACCAATTTTATAAACTTCAGATATTTTGACTTACCTTAAAGACGAATAAATAACAAACTATCGTATAATAAATAACAATAATTTCGATGAATCGATGATCGAGATAGGCCGACTATGAGAAATATAATTCTTCACAGATTAATTAATAAGTTAATTTTAACGAAAGTGAATGATGTTTATTTCAAAAAGTAACACTTTCAAAGAAATGTCAATTACTTTTGATCTTAAAATGAAATCAAATTTTTTTTTTTTCGGAGAAAACGTATAATATAACGAAATTGATTTTGCTTGTTTTTGAACAAGCAAACTTCCAGTGAGACTTTTACGATGAGAGAAAATCAAGGAGTACACACGATTTCGTTCGAGATGGGAGCATAGATGATACCTGACTGCCATATTCTATTCACTATACGACTCGTAAGTACTTCGATACTACAAGAGCAGAGAGAATGGCCGATCCCCTCTCTTTGAAGATGTTTTCCTTCATTTTTTTTTTTTTAGCATCTTCACTCGTGTCTTCACAGAGAACGACGATAGCTTATAGGTCAGCAATGCGAATTCAAGGGAGTTGGAAATTCGTGACACTTCTTCTGAGAAAAGGTCGCACTTATTTCTCGGTCAATAGAAATTCCTTTAGAATAAAAGTCTTCGTTTATCATAGAATAATAAATCAAAGATAATAAAATACTAAATAATAATTAAATAATAAACAATACTATTATTTATTATTTATTAGTTTTTAATATTAATAAATTAATACTAAATATTAGTTAATACTATCTATATATATATATATATATATATATATATAAAGATTATTTATATTTTATTATATTTAATATTTATTATTTAGTATTAATATAATAATATTAATATTATATTAATACTAAATAAAATAAATACAATTTTGTTTGTTTTTAATTAATATAAATTAAACCAATCAAATAATTCGTTATATCTTTAATATATTAACTTTTAATATAACTTAATTTATTAATATATTTAACTTTTTATAAATTGATCAATTTTCTATTAATGTTAAAAATAATATATTTATATTAATTATTATTATTATTATTATTACGAATTAAAGTTAAATGTTTAATGTGATATTAAAGTCAAGTTTTATAATATTTTAATGAAAATATCGTAGCAATAATATAATATAATATAATATAATAGTATTTATACTTAGAATACGTTTATCTTGAATTATTTGAATATCAATAAAATTGAATCATCTTATTTATTAGTTTCATTATTTATTAGACTTGTTGAGATTTCAAATAAAGATCAAGAGTTAATTTAATCAGAAGCATAACCTAATGTGCATATTGCATGTGCATATTGATAATTAATGTTAGTAAAGTATTTATTCGAATCGTGTGACTTAGATATCTGCCTCTCCTATTGTCGATGAGACACGCTGTATTTTTTACTCTAGTAACTTTCCCTTTCGTTATAGCAAACTAATCCGGATCATAATAGAGCAGATTGTTACTACATAGGTCACCATAGGCTACGTGTTTACTCATTGAAAAGATTAAGAGAAAGAAATGTCAAGTTTCTTTCTTTATTTTCTTACGAAGTTCTTCCATTGATCAAATATCTCAATTTAAATATATCAATGATTTTTTGTTTTGTTTTGTTTTGTTATGGTACAATTTCAATCGAGATCTATGTCGATATCTTTTTATATGTTCTTCGATATATTTCACAATAGGATTAAATTGGTCATAAAAAAAAAATAGTATCATTATTATTATTATTATTATTATTATTATTATAATTGTCTCTAAAAGAAAACAAAATAATTGTTCATTTTTTTTATATATATAATTTTTTTTGTTCTTGCAAGATATATTATGAATATATACATATATGAAGTGTCTAAGAAAAAAAAAAAAAAAAAAAAAAAAGGGAACACATTGTGTATGTATTCCAGAGAAAGGCGCAAATATTTTACTGTTACATAATTGTCCTTAATAAAAAAAACTGGTTTTCAACAAGTGCGAGTAGAGATATTAAATTTTTTTACGAGTAGACAGCAAGTTTCTTTACCAAGAAACGTTTTTATTAATCTCAACTTCAAATTATTCTCTCTTTGGTGAAATTCATATATTTAATGTAATAGAAATAAGTAACATCTCATATGAGAAAATCTCAAAGAGAGTCAGCTTGTTTAAATTTTCGAAAGGAGTTTAACGAAAGCTTCATCTCATTGATCTGTAAAATTAATGATCAGTCAAACAATAATTGCTAACGTTCACGCATAATCGTTGCACCGGAAATTATATTGTTATACAAAGGTTTATTATTATGGTCTAAAGAAATGAGTCACGTGTACGTGTCTTGAAACTTTTTTTTCTTTCCTTTCGTAATTTTCAACTATTTAAATAATTAAGAATATTTTTTTATTTTTATTTTTATATTAATATTTTTATTTATTTTATTTATTTTTATTCTAATATATATAATTTATTTTTATTTTAATATTAATATATAATTATATATTAATATTAATATATTATTATATATTATAATTAATATATATATATATATTAAAATAATAATAATAATAATAATAATAATAATAATAATAATAATNTGAAGCACCTCGAATACTATTACACCGTGTATTTCTGTAAATCAAACGTATGTATTGCTGTAAATATTTATATTAATATATTATTTTATATATATAAATAAATATATATAAATTATATTTATATTAATATTTTTATTTATTTTATTTATTTATTTATTTTTATTTTAATATTAATATATAATTATATAATAATATTAATACATTATTATATATTATAATTAATATAAGTATATTAATTATAATTTTTATATTAATATAATTATATATGTATAAATTATATTTATATTAATATTTTTATTTACAATATATATATATATGTACTGTTAATTATGATATTGACATGAGTAAAAAAAAATGAAAAAAAACAAATCTATGTCTGTTTTCCATATTCAAATTATTTATATGATAATATAAATCATAAAAAGAACAATTTTTTCAAATTTATTCATTTACGTTACTTTTACAATTTTATTTCATTAATTTCATTCACATGTATAAAATTACAATATATATATTTATATATCAAACTTACAAAAAATGATTGCACATTTCTTCAAGTGATTAGTAGTGAAAGCAATATGATTTTACATTAACTATGCGATTTAGTCGAATAAACAGATTAATATATCAAAAAAAAAAAAGAAAAAAAATAGAAAGAGAAGATCATTTTGATGTTTCACTAGAGATCTTTCAATGACTAGAAAGGTCTATTACTACTTTCTGCTTAAATTTCTATCATGAATCTAATAAATTCATAGCGAGAAATTTAATTGTAAGCTTCAATTATTTCAGATTGTAAATTAAGATAGAGAAATAATAGAATAGTGTTATTTCATTTAATATGTTTTCTTGTTTAAGAAATTCATTAGATCTCATTTGAATATCTCTTATGGTATATAATTTTTTATGGGTATTGTTAATTATTTTAATTATATTATATATATACACTACTCAACACATATTATTTCTTTTTCCTGATTCTTCAAAAATGTCTTATTTCTTAAAGAAGAACAAAGTAAAAATTTAAACCAAAAATAAACTTACGATTTTTGTTACGTTGTTCAATTTTTTGATTTGAAAGTTCTTGTTGTTGATAATGTACCACATGATTAGTCCAAGTGACTGGTTTCTTATAGTCAAAGAAATAATTGGGAGAGCTATAAAAATAGTTGCTAGATTGCATTGGCCTACTGTTAACGCTTTTCTTTCTTCTCATCGTTGGATATCTCTCTCTCTCTCTCTCTCTCTGTCTCTGTAAGAAAAAAGAAAAGAAAAATGAAATAAAAAGAATAATAATTTACATTCATAGTCAGATTGTGTTAAGTTCAGTCGAGTACATAGATTCGAAATTGACGATTAAAATGTAACTGTTAAGAAGTATATGTTTTTTTTGTTCTCATCTTTTTTAACACCTGTGGTTGAGAAAACCGACATTCCTTGCGTCACGTGCAATCCAGTATCCATAAACAGAATGAGTGATAGAAAGAGAAAAAAAACTACACACACACACACCATATATATTTCTTCATACTAACACCTAAAGTGCAAATGATAAAACAACTGTAAATAATGAACAAAAAAATTTGATCAATTTCTCGATGAAATTTTTTTATCAATATATATATATATATATATATATATATATATATATATATAATACTTTAATCATTTGAGTGCTATAGACGTATATATGCGTTTAGTAAAAATTACTAATCTTATCGTTCGAAGCATATATACGTGTTTATTAATATTTATGTAAAATATTATTTAATATTTATATTATTATTAATTAAATTACATTTTTACAGAAAACTTTAATTATTGAATATAATTTATTATTAGAATTTGATTAATAATAAATTATTCGTGCTTATTAATATTTATGTAAAATAATTTAATATTTTTTATTAATTAATTAAATTATATTCACAGAAACAAAAACTTCAATTATTCCGGTCTTACAAAACATTTTAATTCAAAGTATTCAGCATTTAAAGGGTTAACAATCAATAAGAATTTGAAATGAAAATTGTTATCGTTAAATGTCAATATTCTATATATATATATATAAAATTATTGTTATTAAATTTAACTGACTGATTTAATCATAATTTCATGCAATGACTTGTAGAAAAATTGCTGATCAATCATTTAACGATTCGTTTTACTTTCATAATAAAATACTTGATGAGATTTTAAACACTATATACTCACTTTCCTAATTTAAATAGTTCAAATTGACGTTTGTATCCTCTGAAAGTTAACTTTCGGTCACATTCGCAACACTATTATTTTTATATGTTATGTCAGCACTGATTAACATCACAAAATAGATCATTCTAATTAGATTCGCTTTATATTTTGTTCGAACAGTTACAACGGCACAAATGCAAATGATTTCTTGCTTCACTAACAGAGCATGAATGATAATAATGAATAATGAACAAAATTTAGATTTAGTTTTAATTTGAAATAACAATTTTTCTTTTTCTAATGTTCATCGTCAAAATTTATAACAATTGAATTCATAGTTTAATCGTCATTTTCATGATTTATTTAATTATTAAAAATTACTCTCTGACTAAGAAATATTTTCACTTTTAAATAAACTTAGTTTTCTCATATATATAAATATTTATTTTATTATTTAAAAAACAAATAAAAAATGTAGGTTTAATTTTAATTTGAGAATACAATTTTTGTCAATTATTCTTTTTCTAATGTTCATCGTCAAAATTTATAACAATTAAATCCATAGTTTGATCGTAATTTTCATGATTTATTTAATTATTAAAAATTACCCTTTTGTCTAAGAAATATTTTCACTTTTAAATAAACTTAGTCTTCTCATATATATATATATATATATAAAATAATAAAAAATGTAAATGTTAAAACTGAATTTCTTTTGCAAAATTTCTATCGATAAAAATAAATGTTAAAATTCACTATATCGATTTCACATTTACGTGAGTCACATATAAAACACTTCAAATTAATTGTTGACTTATTTATTTGTTGTTTTTTTTTTTTTTAATTTTACATTATGTGTGTGTATACTGCACAATGATATATTTCACCAGCTCACATCAAAGCAAAGGACCGCTTCTCTCGATTGCCAATCGACTGACCAACCGACCGTCTTAAATCTCATCGTAAAATCATAAACAGACTTGCTCGAGGCGTTTTAAAGCTAAACACTTTTACTTTTTTATACCTTTACTAATGTAATCGGTTATAAATAAAAATTTCGCGATAAATAATGAAAAATTGATTAAAAGAGCTATGTTTCGATGTTATCTTCTTAATTATTTGTTATTTATTTGAGAGAAAATCGTTATTTATATTTGTTTATAATTATTATTAAAAAATGGAACATAATCATTTATCATTTAATATCTCTCTCTCTCTCTCTCTCTTTCTTTCTCTCATTTTTCTATTAAAAAAAAAATATATATATTTAATTCAATTTCTATATGAGAAAGTAGTTTTGTAATTAATATGTCAAACAAAATGAAAAAAAAAACAAAATTAATTAATTCATTAATTACCTGAATATAAATAACAAAATTATACGATAATACTTAGTAGAAATTATTACTTGCAATTTTAATTTCTAAATATTGTATTTCCAATACTTTCTTTTTTCCGTAAGTGCGTATTGAAAGTTAATCGGCAGATTTGTAATATCGAACTGAGACATTTGGTATATCGTTAAGAGCTTATATAACCCATTTGGTTCCTTTTTTTTTTTTTTTTGACAATTGATTGATTGATCATTTTAAAAGGTAAATTGACTTACATAAAAACTTTTTATTCATACATTTACATATGTTGTGTGTTTATATTTTCATTGGGCACTAACTTCATTTCATTTTATAATCTTCTGCAATTTTAACCTTGATTATCACATCATTTTCATTATAATTATCATAATCATTACTTTTTCTTAATGAGTGTTTAAAATAAAACAATTTTTCTTTCGTATGTGTGAATATCAAATGAATTTTTATGTATACAAGAAGAACGTTTAATAATTGTTACATTATTTAAACATACTTAATAATTACTGTTTAATTCATTAACATTAATTGTACGATGAAAATAATACACAAGTTTTTTTTTTTTTTTTATAAAAAAAAAAAAGAAATTATTTTCAATTATTTTATGTTAATTTTGTTAAAAGTAAACTTAGGATTTAACTTTAATTATTAATAATACATTCACATTTTTAAATTGAAAAGCATGGCAACATACAGATAAATTTTTGCATTAATAATTATAACTTGATCTTTTATTATCTAGTTACATTAAATTAAACAAAAACACAAGTACATGAATAATATTTATATATTGTCTTATATTTTCTATTATTTTATTCTATATAAAATATTTTATTTAATTACAATTTTGTATAATAACAGATTTTATTATTTTTGTTAAATGAATTCTATTACACAATTATTCTCTCTTATATTTCTAATTATTATTTTAAGCAAAAGTTGATAAAATTTATTGGCACTTTGATTAACTATAATACATATGTATATACAACAAATATATATATATATATATGTATAAAATAAATAAAAATTATATTATGTATATTTACACGAACGTTTTGAACAACATTCGTGAGTTGTTCAAAATAAATTAAATATATAAACGAAACGCACAAGCACCGCGAGTTGATTTATAATAAAAAAAAACAAGTAAAACAATTGTTTTTACTTTTAAAAAACAACGATTTTATTCAAATCGAATTTATTTGAAATTTCTAAAGAAACTATATCCCGTCGATGGATTATTCAAAATGACTTCTGATGTAATCGGTAATGTTGTACGAGTTGACCATATAAAATGGGACGACCATTGACGATGATATAGTCTATGATTCTCGCGGTGCCATAATTTTCATTTTGGAAATGTTATTGGCCCATTTTCGTATTTAGTCGAATGACATTTAGTACCACGAACTATTTCATCAACGAAACCAGCTACTATACGAAAATTAGTCTCGTTTGAATTTAATGTTCCTGTCATGAATCTTTGAAATGATGACGTCAACATCCAGATTTCTTCTCGATTTTTGTTAGAATATTTCAACTGAAAATTTCAATGCGTTATATTTTATAATAAATTATTAAAATATAGATGTTATATATAAAAAATGGAAAACATATGTTTTTCATGTAAAAACTTTTACAGTTAAAGAAAGCAAATAAATGTTAACGTACCTTCAAACCGGAAGGAAATTGTAGGTTTGTTCGATCGACTAGAAGCTTTTCGATATTCTTTCCACCATATTCAGGATAAATATTACTATTCCAACAAGCAAGTGACAATTCTGACAAAAGACCAAAGAAAAGAACGCCATCATCGTTCATTGCTTCGGCTGCAGATTGCGATGATCTTTCCATTTCAAATGGTACGAATGATCTCGGTGTTGCCTCAGAATTGTGAGCAAAAATAGAATAATTTCTACAATTGAAAATAACAACAAGTAAACATTATTAATGATAATAATAAGATCAACATGAATAAAATTCAAATGTTTACCTGATAATTGATGTCGATACCGAAGCTTCAACTCTGCTGGCTAAAGAATGGAAATAAAGTATTTTATCACCATTTGGTTTAATGGGACTCAAAGCTAAACCAAATATGCCATCCATAAGATCGAAGGTATCACCATTAATATTAAAAGTCCCATATTGCGGATAAGGATAGAAAAGTTTATTTTCTATTCTCCATGATCTATCATGACGATGATCGTAAACTAATAAGCCAAAGCTACTCACATCAGCGATATAAACAAAAGTATCATGACATTTATCATCGGTATTACGAATGTCCACGATTGGTGTGATGAAAAGGGAAGTATCTTTAAACTGATCACGTGGAAATTTATATTGATGAATTAGTCTGTTATTTATCAAGGAATATACGTGCAATTGAGGCCGACAAATTTGTCTGTCACCAACTTTGCCTGTGTCGAGTATCCATAATCTGTGACATTTATCAATCTATAATAAAAAAGAAAAAAAAAGAAATAAGAAAATAAATCAAATTAAACATTTTTAATATCAATATAAAATGAAATTTGTTAATAAATAATTACCGCCACTCTGAAAACGCTAGTGATAGCATTGCAATCGCCTTCTTTATTCGATTCCCAGTTAGGATATGGTGCAATTATTGGATTTCCCTCTGGAGTGACGTCATCAGTAACATATCCAAAGGTTACTGGTACTCCTTTTATAAATCTTGGTATCGTCACAAAAACGATCGATGTATGTTTCTCTGTATAATTAATTATCTTTTTTAATGAATTTTATATGATTAGATAGAAGATAAATGATTGATGTTTATGAGTGTTCATTTGTATAAACATATCTATAAAATATCATATATGTACATATAACATATAATTATTTATCATATTACTAAATATTAGATATAGTATAATATATGTAACACATATAAAATGTATATAATATATAAAGGATGTTTTTAATAGTGCAAGTAATATAACTTAGGGATGGTTTTTTTTGTATACTAAAATAAGAACAAAATATTATATTATTTTCGAATGATAGTTGCTTTTTGAATATAATTTTACTGACTGTTTGTTTCAACGATTTACAGTTAATAATAAACTTCTTATCTTACATGGACGACCTTATGGAAAAATTGACGATAAAACGTTTACACTAGAAGCCTGCATTGAAGCCGAAAGTGGTCACTTAGAACAATTTCAATGAAAATTATGCGTACACACGATAAATCAATTTATTTTTCTCAAAAAAAAAAAAAAATAAAATGTCATATACGAATTAATTTAATTCTAAATTTGCGCCTTAATTTTTAATTGGAATCATCCTCTTTTTACTCACATGTACTATTTACTTACAAACACCCTGTATATTTATATTAGAAACAAATTGAAATAATTTTCATCAAATATACAAATGTAATATGTTAATTAAAACAAAATTAAAATACAAAATTACAAAAAAAAAATAAAAATTACAAATAAAAATTATTATTATAATTTTAAAAATAATTTTCTATATTATATTATATTTATAATATAATATAATAATATAATATAAAAATATAAATTATAATAATAAAGAGAGTATATATATATATATATATTTTAATTTTATAATTAATATAATTATAAAAAGAAAAATTAAAAAAAGAAAAAAAATACACATTACATTAATATTTTCTGTATTAAAAAAAAAAAAAAATAAAAAAAAGATGTATGAAATTAAATAAAATATGATTGGAAAGGTTTAAACATTAGCTAAAGTTCCTGCAGCACTTGATTAATAATTTAGATTATTTTCAAGCTACGAGAAAATACATTAACAAAATTCCGATCACGAATTTGATAATATGACCGATGAATTTCACTGTAAAAGAAATTACTTTTTAAAATGAGATCATCGACTCGGCCGTTGTACCTTGTTATTACAATAGAACTTCCGTACCAATGAAAGAGAATTACTATCTTGACCATTCTCATGTTCCAATGACATTACCTTTCTCTTTTTCTTTGTCTTTAATAAATCATTGTCATATGTTGACACAGATCTCATATGCCAAAAGAAAAAAGAAAAAAAGAAAAAGAAAAAAAAACACACATGTAAAAGATAATAATATTGATTATTATTTTTTACACTAAATGATTATTTAATCATCATAATTATAATTAATCATTGCCATTCACTTTATAATTATAATTACGTGTATACACATGTGCTTCCATTACTCTATTTAATTATTAGTTATGTCAAAGTAACGTGATATGGAATGTGTCTTTAAATAATAATACTTTTAATCAAAATAATAATAGTAATAAACTTTTGAAATAACGATAATGAAATCGAATGTAAAAACTGTCATTGGAAATTTCAAGATAAATATCACTTTCTCTCTCTCTCTCTCTCTCTCTCTTAGTCTTTCTCTTTATTATTATTTTTTTGTTTTGCTACGATTATTATAAAGAAAGAAAGAAAGAAAGAAAAAAAAAAAAGAAAGAGATTAAATTTATAATCGATCAAATGTGAATTAATAGAAAATAATATGATTTCTTTCGAACCTCCGTAATAAATGTCCACATCAATAGGTACTGGTGCACCTGGTATGAAAGTGCCTTGTTTTATTGCTATCTCTCTTGCACGTTGATTCGGAAATGCAAACTCCAATGCTTTCCACGAATAAATGATTTTCAATTTATTGTTATACTCGCAGTTACATATCGCTGAATAACTGAGAACTGCGATAAGACCGAATATCCAACCGATCATTGTTGGTTGTTGTTCTAAAAAAAAAAAGAAAAACAAAATAAAAAAAATGTATTAAAAATTAATAGATTGATTTAATATTAATTGTCGTTTTATTTATTTATTTATTTTTTTTTCATTTTTTCTTTTTTTCTTTTCTGCACAACATCGAAATCACATAATTCGATTTATAAATTGTTTTTCATTTTCTCAATACTTTTTGTTAATTTATTAATTAGTTATTAATTTATCATTTGTTAGTTGATTAATTTCGTTTGCAAATCTCTCTTATTATTATTATTATTTTAAAATTGTGTTAGTGTTTTTTAATCATTCCTATTGAATTTGTTTAATTTCATTCATGATTGTTTTTCATCACTTTTTATATATTTCACAAGTGACATCATGTAATGTCAAATTTTGCTATTTTTAATCAATTTCTTTGTAATTTTTCATCACTCATCGTATGAATAATATTATTAACAAATTTTCTAATTCGTCATATGACAAATTACATGGGTTTTTCTTCTTCTTTTAAATAGCTTGACGTCAGAACAATATTGATCGATAGTGTTTTGTTATCTATATTTTTATTTTATTATTGAACGCTAATCTTTCGAAAGTTTCTTTCGTTTCCGGCTTTGAATGATCATCTATCTAATTTATTTGTTATTTTTAAAGTGAAATTTCTTAAGGTACAGTAACAATCACACTTTATGAAAAAATACATGAAAAAATAGGGAAAGAGAGAGAGAGAGAGAGAGAAAGAGAGAGAGAGAATGAAATAGAACCAATAGTTGATCAACAGTTGAATGAAATTATAGAAGATTCTAGTTTATAATGTGTAAAGTGTGTAATGTATATATATGTATGTATGTATGTATGTATGTATGTATGTATGTATGTATGCATGTATGAGATACATTAATCGAGATAATTATTGCAAGATGCGCTTGTTTATGAATATTTACGAATGTTTATGAATGTCATTGATGTGACATACCTTGTGAATGTTTAACATACCTTTAATGATTGTTAATTAATCAAAAAAAAAAAATGTATATTATAGTTTGAATTATGAGAAATAAATTCGATGTATCTTCATCATCGAAATCTTCAATTAAACTAGCTCGTTGTCCTCTGTGAATTTTTTTTTATTGACTATTGTCAATATGAATTGTCAAAGGTTACATATGTATAATGAAAATAATATTCGTAATAAATAAAATATTTTTCTTTTTGGAAAATCATATAAACAATTAATAAAAAAATTATAACTGATTTTCATAAAAAAAAATAAAAAAAACAACGAATCAATTTACTGTTGAATTTCCAAAAAAAAAAACGTACGTTGAAATTCTATTATTTATTATAATATAATATATATATATATATTTCATCGATTATTCTATCTATCGTTCTTTATTTAATATACACTTTATATAAATTAGAAAAGCGTGAGTCTAGTTTCAATATATTGATAAGCGATATATACTAAACAAGTAGTGGTATTCAACTGAGTAACATAATACAATTGATAACAGTTTTGTAACACATGATAATGTCATTAATGTAAAGTTTTGTTTTTCAATAAAATTTATAACATATTTATTATTATTATTATATTATTATTATATACTATATTTATTATTATTATATAATATATTATTATATTATTATATATAAGTTATTATTATTATAATATATTATTATAATATTAAATTTTATATAAATTTTATAAATAATATCTTATATAAAAATAAATATATGTGTATTATAAATACACATATTATACATATATAAATATTAAAATATTATATATAATTATAATATATATAATATATATTATATTATAAGTAATACAATATAATTACTATAATACTATATATATATTATATTTATTATTATTATCAATAAAATATATTTTTGTTTTATTTTACACATATATATATATATATATAACAACAATATTGTTATTTTATGTATGAAAAATTAATCGCGTAATTGATCACGTATGTTTCAAAATAAAAAGAGGAGAAAAAACCGATGAATAATAAAATTTGATTATTTACAAGAGATAAAGAAAAAATCTTCGTAAAACGATGGCAATAATGATAACAGTGATGAGTGATGTTAACGATGATATCAGATAAAAAAAAAAAAAAAACTTACAATTATATTAAAACACTACTCACATCTAACGTCGTGAAAGATGATTTAGTCAATTCTCGATTCTACGCACGAACGTTTTATACAGTACGAGTCGGTAACTTTTAAACAACGTTTCTCCTACTCCTCTTTATTATTTTTTTCTTTTTCTTACTTCTTCCCAAAGTATATATATATATATACTTTATGACGACGAATTGATTCTAGATATAAAGTGATATGCAAACGTTGTAAAAAGAAAGAAAAATATGAAGTTATAGAAAGACAAACACAAAGATATATATATATGTTTAAGTTTATCTATAACGAAAGTATGTTGAAATTATTAAACATAACGATTAACAAAATTTATTGAGATAATTTGAAGGTGTTTCGTTAAAAGTAGGTACTTATTAAACAAAGATAAGAGATTCAACGAATAATATTTCTTTAAATTCGATGTTTATGTTAATAAATACTTAGAACCTTTTGACATATAAGTTGTGTTTACACTAAAGTTTACTTCCTTACTAAAGAAAATTTGAAAAGATAACGGAACATAATTATACCAATTTGTTATGTTTATATCTAGAAAGAAGTATGATATTTATTTATATTTCATAGAAAATTAGGTTAACCTTGTTAATAATTATACTATGTATGTATAAGTTTTGAGATATGTATATATACTCGTGGCAGACTGATAAAATGAAATTATTTACACAGTTGTTTAAAACGATTCAAATATCAAAAACGATGTAACAATATTTTTTTGACGATCGACAAGTTACGAATGTTAATAAACATTATTTATAATATTAATATAGTTAATAAGCATATGGTTTTATTTATCATTGATATATATATATATATATAT